CCCCCCGACCAGAGCTAGTCAAGTTTAGACTTCCCCCCTGACCAGGGCTAGTCCATCATGGTTTAAATGATGCCAATTTTCTTTGCAGTGATGGTTTTGATGATGAGAAACCCACCAATGACAGGATGTCCCTTAACGATAGCGAGAAGGATTACGAAAGTGATGACAACTTCGATCAAGAATATGGCGATGGCGACTTTGACACTACCAAGTTCAACGAAGATGGGTCGTTCATTGGTCAATACACAGACAGTAAACGCCGCCCTCCCAATCAGTCGGTGGTGTAGGATAGAACATGTCGCACTGAATTGAACCCTGGAGAGATTACCTACACAGACCTTCACTATTGTCAGTACTGAGATATTTTAACCATCAGATAAGTGACCTTTCTAGCTATACAAGGTCTCATTAATATGGCTTGTCTAACTAAAGAAGTATACAGAATAGTCTTTATCCTTATCTGAACATATCTAGGAGGATGCCTACTGGTGCCAGTCAGATTTATTTTTGTAACAAAACATGACCATTTTAAGTATATGTAATGTCCTTTATCACACTAGTCTCCTTAAACTGGTTAGTCAATCTGGATGGAGAAAAAGGTCAATATTGATGCAAGCAAATTTGTTCACGTTGATTTTGAAATTTTGTATTCGCTCCATTTTTTTTTTTTTATTAATTAAAATTTTGTACCTGATAATACAAAAAAGAATACGTCATCTGGTGAAGTATTGAAAAACGTCATAAAAACCAACATTACTTCTGTTTCTCCTTTTTTGTCCAAAGATTAACATCTTGTTGAAGTCAATTTTACACATTCAAATTATGAAGTAATCAGTCTGATCATCCGATTATTAGTAGATACAGACTATACTCTAGTCGACATTTAAGATACAGACTATAGGAGACGTTTAATGGATGGACTAAACTGGACGTTTAAGATACAGACTATAAGAGACGTTTAATGGATGGACTATACTGGACGTTTAAGATACAGACTATAAGAGACGTTTAATGGGGGGTTTTTTGGACTACAATCGGGAACTGTCGGCACTTTCCGTAAATGAGAAAACACTTTAAAAATATTCTCGTTTACAGAAAGAACTGATGAATCCTGAAAGGTGTGGATTATACTAGACTGGACATTTAAGGTACAGACTATATAGGGACACTTAATGGAAGATCTCATCTTCAAATACATGGGATTTGATGGTGAAAAACAGACCAGCAGATTTACAATGTAATGTTTTGGGGTTCAACAGATTTTATACATGGTATAGTAATGAAAACATTCCAAAATTTCTCAGACAAATCAGCTGTAAACATTCCAAATTTACATTTAAAATGAGATTTGTTAGATTTTTAGCTCACCTGCCTGAAGGGCAAGTGAGCTTATGTTATGGTGCGGCATCCGTCGTCCGTCTGTCCGGCGTCAACTTTTTGCTTTAAACAACTTCTTCTCAATAACCAAAAGGCCTAGGAAGATGATATTCGGCCAGTAGCATGCTGGGATCAAGGGCTACCAAGTTTGTTCAAAT